GCGGGCCCAGGCTGGATTCGAACCCGCCACTTTAGGTGTATGTGCCTGGCGCCTTAGCCACTTGAGCCATAGGCACTGAGTCAAGCACCTGATTTATCTAAGGTTCCATGCTAGGAATCAGGGGTGCATGAAAATGACCAGGACATGATTCTGCTTGTGAGGAGCCTGTAGTTGTCAAGGGAGAAAAGTTGTATTCATTGATAATGTTAATACACAGTCAGAATTAATGCCCGGAAAGTCAGATAGGCCTTGAGAGGAGGGAGGGGTCACTGCTGACTGGGAGGGTCAGGAGGAGGTGACATTTGGGCTGAGCTTTGCCCTGGGGCAGGCTGCAGGTGGCAGGAATGGGGCGGGGTTCTGGACCCTTGGGGAGAGAGCACAGCCTGGGTAGACGTGGGAGAGGGGACTGTGTGGCGGGTGTCTGCAGGATGGTGGCCATGGCTGTCTTCCCCCTTGGGCTCCTGGCAGGAGTGCATCGTTTTCTGTGTGCGGGGGGAGCCCGTGCTGTTCCTGCGTGCCGATGAGGACTTCGTTTCCTACACACCCCGAGATAAGCAGAGCCTTCATGAGAACCTGCAGGGCCTCGGACCTGGGGTGCAGGCAGAGAGTTTGGAGCTGGCCATCCGGAAGGAGGTAAGTCCAGGCTCTGCCCTGGTGGGCTCTGGGCAGCTGAGCTGAGACTCCTCCTCCCCTATAGCCCAGCTTGCAGACGTGTTCTGTGAGGCCTGCCCACCTGCCGTCACCAGCCACAATTCCCATCTCTGCTCCGTGCTTGGGTGAGTGTGGCTGAGGCATAAGCAGCAAAGGCAGGACATCTGTTCTCAGCTCTCGCTGCCTCTGCCTCTTCCCGCCTGCTTTTCTCCTCAATCCCAACATATTTACTTAGAAAGGGGTCTGATGGCACAAAAAGGGCCCTAGACTAAGAGGCCTGAGATGGCAGGTCAGCCTTCCTGAGTCATGAGGTCATGGGCGAGTCAAACCTCTTGTTGGGACCTGTTGGACATTCCAGGATTCCTCTGTCCTTTTGCTCACCCCCAAGACAGAGGCTTATTGAGGTCTCTGAGACAGTTGACATACCATACTGTGGAGGTGTGTGAATAGAGAGTAGCATTCTGAGCTACACATAGGCTCTGTGGGCAGGAACCAAGACCATGGCACCTGCTGGCCTTGTCCCCCCTCCTGGCCTTCTGTGCTCTCTGCTTCAGCCCCCAGCTGACCGAGCCTTGCCCTATGCTGGCAGTGTGGCGTCTTAGCAAATTCCTGCCACCCACTGGGCACAGCCTTCCTGTCTGGCCCATGTGTGGGTGGCTGCCCTTGGGCCCACCCCAATCCCTTAGATGCCCAGGCAGGGTACAGAGGGTGCTTCTGGCCATGCTCTTCCCTCCTAGAGGAAAAGAAGCTGATGTGTGGCCTCTGTGTGGTCTGGTCACTCCAGAACTCAGCCAGAACACTCAGGGAGGGACTGATGGTAAGGTCATGGTCCTCTGACCCCACACCCTTTTCTAGATCCACGACTTTGCCCAGCTGAGTGAGAACACCTACCATGTGTACCACAATACCGAGCACCTGCGCGGGGAGCCCCGTGCTGTGCCCGTCCGGGGTGAGGACGATGTGCATGTGACTGAGGAGGTGTTCAGGCGTCCCCTCTTCCTGTGGCCCACCTACAGGTACCACAGGGCCATCCTCTGGACCTGGCTGCTGTGCTGGCTGTGGGTGCTCTTGGGACCTGAGCCTGGTCTCAGTGTTACTGTCTGCAGATTGGGCTGAGTTCCCCATCCTCATCCCCCAGGGTGGAGGGTGTTTCCTAACTGTGCTGGAGGATGGAGGCAGGGTGGTGCCTCGCTGATGGCTGCTCTCCTCTCCCGGCAGGTACCACCGCCTGCCCCTGCCGGAGCAGGGGGCACCTCTGGAAGCCCAGTTTGATGCCTTTATCAGTGTTCTGCGAGTGAGTGGGGGCGCCGTTGCTCTAAGAGTAGTCTCCATGGAGGTGCTTAGGGTGGACTTGGCTTCTGGCTTTTCTCAGAGGAGGGGCCTTTTGTGTTGTGTCTGGAGTCATGTGTTGGGGGTGTGTGTTGGTATCTGTGTCTCTGAGTACATGTCTATGTATATTTGTATCTCTGTCCTCTGTGTGCATGTGTGTGGGTGTCCCTGTGTGCGTGTGCTTCAGTGTGCATGTATGCACATGCTCCTGTATGTGTGTGCCTCTGTATGACTCTGTGCGTGCATGCACATGCCCCTGTGTGCGTGAGAGTGTGTACATATGTCCTTGTGTGCATGTGTGCAGGTGTCCCTGTGTGCGTGTATGCGCGTGCCCCTGTGTGTGTGCTTCAGTGTGTGTGTATGCACGTGCTCCTGTATGTGTGTGCCTCTGTATGACTCTGTGCGTGCATGCACATGCCCCTGTGTGTGTGAGACTGTGTGCATATGTCCTTGTGCTCATGTGCATGTGTCCCTGTGCTCATGTGCATGTGTCCCTGTGTGTGTGTGTGTATGTGTCCGTGTGTCCCTGTGTGCACGTATTTCTATGCATGTGTGCAGGTGTGCATTTGTGATGGTCTGGCACCAACTATGGGAGGGCTGCATTCTGGCTATGGCACAGCTGCTAAGTTGCTGTATGGACTTGGAAACATCATCTCTGCTTTCTAGACCTGAAGTTTCTCATTTCTTAGGGAGCTAGAGAGTCTTACTTCTCGAGTAAGAGATTCTTAAGTGGATATTTCCTGAGTCTGGTGATGTTTCTGTCCCCCCCTTTTCAGGACATTATGTTATTTTATCATCTCTCAGGGTGTTGAATACAGGCCTGGTTCCCTCTGAATAACTCTCACTTCAGAGCACACTCACTGCTCCCAGGCTTGGGGAGGCACTGAGGAGGCTGAGCCACTTGCTGAGCCTACCCTGCTGCTGACTGTGGGGGAGGAGTGGGCTGATGTCATGGACTCCCTTCCCTGACTAGGTCTTTAGCCAAGGGGTTTCTGGGTCACATTGTTGCCAATGTTCACGATCTTTCCGCAGGAAACCCCCAGCCTGCTCCCACTCCGTGTTGCCCGCGGGCCTCCCCCTGCCCTCCTCTTCAGCGGCCAGGCAGGTGTGGGCAGGACCAA